TAATGCAAAATAAAATGGAACCGCCGGTTCCATTTAGACAATTAGACCTGCACAAAACCGGGCCGGCCCGCCCAGCCCGCCCAACCGGCCCGCACAAATGGGCGTGCTTGGGCATATATATTTACCCACCGGGCCGGGCCCGGGCCGGCCCGCAATAACATATGGGCGGGCTTGGGTTAGGGTGTAGGCCCGTTCGGGCCGATAAGCCCGGCCCGCTACATTTAATATATATATATATATATATATATATATATATATATATATATATATATATATATATATATATATATATATATATATATATATATATATATATATATAATTTATTTATTTACATGTACATTTATATTTTCTAATATAATTTATCTTTATACATATTTATAGTTTATTATGTTTAAATTTAGGTTTTTAGATCTGAACCACTAGCCCAACTAATATAGTATCTATTTTTGTACTTAAAGATAATACTTTTTGCTTGAATTTTATATTTTAAATATAGTTTCTCATTATTATTTTTGTGTAAGTATTATTTTTGTATGTGGTGAAAGACCTATAAACATTACACGCATATTAACAATTTTTTAAATGTTGTAATATTAGTTTTAAAGTATTAAAAAAATTCGAAAAATATAAAGGTTTTCCGGGCCCGGAGGCCCGGTGGACTACCCGGCCCGCTCTTATGGGCGGGTATGGACATGGGGTTAGGCCCGGTTTTGCGGGCCGGGCCGGGCCCGCCCACATATGATGGGCAAAAAAATTATAAAAAGCCCGGCCCGAGCCCGGCCCGAACCCGTTTTTGTGCAGGTCTAGTTCCATTGTACGGTCCGGTCTGGTCTGGGTATTGCAATTTTCAAAATAGGAACCGGACCTTACCCGACCCGTTTGAAACAGGTCGATCCGGTCCGGGTTTTACGGTTTCTATTCCCATGTCTTAAAATTAGTAAAAACTCACAAAGTTCCAAATATCAATAATTAATAATATAGTACATTAGCAAGTTTCAAAATAACAACATAGTGGTGCACATGTAACACAAGTGACAAGTCCAATACTCCATAATTTCATGTATATAAGTTTAAAACAATTAAAGTTCCAAAAATCAGCAACATAGCCAAAATATATATTTTCTAACATTTGAATTTAAAAATGTTGTCTAACATCACATATTAAGGTGACACATACATGGGGGTGGTAATCACAATTTATATATTTTAAGAACAATATTATAAAAACAAATATTACAAAATCATTTTTAACAAATAATTAAATTCCATAGAAAGGAATAATTCAATAACAATAAAAATAATAAGAAATTTATGTAAAATTTAATCAATAATTTGAAAGCAAAATGATGTTACTGCAACTCAATTTAAAACCATACTTCTAACAAAGGAAAACAAAACTATTTCAAAACCGATTATCACAAAACTATTAATAAATTAATATACAATATATATAACGGGCCGGGCCGGGTACCCGGTATTTTTTTATTTTAGAACCGGCCCGGGTCCTTAAAAAAAATTATCCGAACCTACCCGGACCGTTTTATGGAAACAAAAAATGGAACCGGCCCGTTTTGGACCCGAACCGCCATTACCCGGACCGGACCGCGGTTCCAAGACCCGTTTACCCACCCCTAATTGGAACTGCTCCCTACACACACACACACACACACACACACACACACACACACTCCCTCCGTCCCTTTTTAAATGTCTCATTTTATCATATTAGGATGTTCCTATTTAATTGTTTCATACCATATTTGATAAAGTTTGTGTGGCTCAAAATCAATCTTACTTTATTGGGGTTTTTATAAGAATATTACTAAAATAAAGTGTAACATAAATGTGACTATTCATTACTACCATGTGGTTTTGTGATAACTTAAGCTCAAAATTTGAACATGAATTACTATGATTTCATTACTACTCTAGTCATTAATCATATTTTTGTACATCATCTTTATTTTGGTCATATTTATGTAATTATTTCTACTTTATTTTGACTTTATCAATTAATATCAACCACACAAACTCGCTTCTCTTAAAACTCGTGTCACCCTCTTCCGGAACATCTAAAAGGGGATGAGAGAAGTAATTCAATACGTATTTAAACATGAATATGCTAAATGAAAGTGAGTTAGAAAGTAGATAATGAAGTGTTTACAAATCAAATAGATGCATATTTTATATTTATAGATAAAATTAACTTTGTTGGACTTCAAGGGTAGGCTTCAATTGCAAATGAGTTTTGAATTTTAAATTAGTGCAAGCTAGTTTAATTCCAACGTATAGTGCATTTTTTTTATAACGATTGTGTCATTAAATTTTAATAACAACAGTTTTCCAAAAAAAAAAAATAGCAAAATGTATAGTAAAATGTTTGGATAGAACCGATAGTGCATGCGGTACTTCAATTAAATTAATTCCAATGTATAGTGGATGCAGTACTTTAACACCGGTACTAGCACTGCATGATCCCAAAAATGAGTAATTATGAGATATGTATAGAAGTTGGAAATAATCTCAAAATAATACAGCTTTAAAATTTGATACCAGATTATTTTATCAAATACTATGTAATCTCATAAAATAATCTCAACTCCACATCCATGATCCCAAAAAAATCTTCAACATCATCAAAATGATCCCAAAAATAATCTATGGATGTGGATGCCCTTAGGGTTTGATGAAATTATTATTTCCCTTTTTTGAACTGATTTAGATAAAACTTTCACACCTAATAATCTAAATTAAGTAATTGTAATTGGTATAATTCAGGTTGGAATTTGATTTGCACATGTTATTGTTTTCTCTTACTCAAAATAAAATTTTATTTTCTACTTTATTTGTTTGCTGAATTTTGATGTCCAAAATTAAAATTGCAGGTTGGAAAAGTCATCTTTTTTTAACCAAACTTAAGAGATGGTGAAGGTTTTGATTGTGATGAGCATAAGCTTGAAACTTGAAAGTTTATACTGCAACAAGATACTCTTAAACCCAAACCAAGAGAAAGTGAAGCTGCAGCAAGATATTTAGCCTTAAGTGAAAAGTTCTGTTGGACACAAGCCAAAATATTTGAAGTTGTAGCTTATTTGTTCATTCACAATATTCAGTTTTGGGATTGTAGCATGTGTGTTAATGCACACTTTTGTGTTTATTTTCATAACCTGTATTAAGCGAAAGGAGTCGATTTGTTTTCAATTATTGTTCAAAGATATGGTTGAAAGAGTAACTACGTATATGTGTGAAGTGATCAAAATTTTGCAGCTTGAGAGGTACAGGAAGAACAAAAGAACTGCACCAACATAAAAACTGCAGCATGAATTTAAAAATGTGCACTCAAAATAAATAAAACACCTGCAGCAAAATCAAAATGGAACAACAAAAAGTGTTGTGCCAAGAATAAAAAACACATGCATCAAGCGATAGAAAGAACAATAAGTGATCCACCAAACACATTTAATGTAACTCGTGCACCAAATGACGTTCACAAAGAAACTCATCTGCCAAAACCAGAATCTGATACATACATTGCATTGTTGCCTTCTGCACTAACTGGACAATGAAGTTCACAACAATATTGATTTTTCTTATGTCTTTGTAAACACTAACTTGGTGCCTGCTAATTTGAAGTCTTAGGAACTTAGGTTTTTTATTAAAGATTGGATTTTTATCTTAATTATTATCCTCTCTCGCTTCTAGGGTTTGACTGGCCTGAAGGGGACGCATATAATTACTTCAGCAGAAATAAAATAAAAATGGAAGATGGAGAGCTTGAGTTTTCAAATAGCCAGGAGATGCTGTTATCCGATTTGAATATCAGTGAATTACCAGACAGCAGTTTTATGGACAGCTTTTTGAATGAAATCCTCAAGGACACTCATGCATGCACCCATGCCCATACCTGCAACCCGCCCGGACCCGACAACTCACACACCCACACCTGTTACCATGTCCACACCAAAATAGTTCCGCCTCCGCCTGTTGCTTCCAGTGAAGACAACACCGCGGAGTCAGTGGATGATAAGAAAGAAGGAAAGAAACGACCATCGGGGAATCGGGAAGCTGTCCGCAAGTATAGGGAGAAGAAGAAGGCGAGGGCGGCATTGTTAGAGGACGAGGTTGTGAGGTTGAGAGCTGTGAACCAGCAATTGCTGAAGAGGTTGCAGGGGCAGGCGGTGCTCGAAGCTGAGCTGGTAAGGCTCAAGTGTTTGCTTGTCGACATGAGGGGAAGGATCGAGGGTGAGATTGGGTGTTTTCCATATGATTATACTAAGCAGCAGCAGCAAATGAATCCTTGCAATGTTCAGTGCAATGTCAATGACTATTCCCTTCATTGCCTCCAACCAGGTGGTTCAGACGGTGGCATAAGTTCAGAAGTGAACGACCAAGGATTGAATAGTAATTGTGGTTTTGATAGCCTGCATTGTTTGGCAGGTGGTAATCAACAAATTTCTGGAGTGAAAGAGCCTGCCGGGCTTGGAGTAGGCTACAGCAACAAGCCTGTTAGTGCTTCTGGTGGGAGTAAGAGGAGTAATAAGAACACTAATTAGAACTGAGTTCTCAGTTTTTTTATTTTTTATTCTATCCGTCCTAAAAAAGAGAGTTATCTTTTTTTATTCTCGTGCTGGATAAGCTGTATATGCGTTTAATAAATACAGTTTGTTTATTTATGAATAAACTGTGTATTAGTTCAAACTTTGATCTCCTTTTGTTAATTCTTAGGGCTTGTTTGGTCCAGGATCTCAAAAGAGAATGGGTGAATTAATTTATACTTGTTAGTTTAAAATGAGAAATATTCACGTGATTAGTTAAATCATGTATGTTTATATTGTTTTTTATCTCACTTTATTTACAAATTACAAGCAGCTAAATGTAGATACTAGATACGAAGTATTATCTAAAATATAGTATCATCCAATCACCCCTTGCAGAATCAACAACCCAAACAAGCCCTTGGTTTCAGTCAGCAGAGATACCTGTGCTGTAATGCATGATTTACTTTTCAGTTGGAACTGAAAATTCTGCTGAAGAACTAGCCTTAAAGATTATGCAGACATTATACATCCATTTCAAAATGCCCAAATGTAACTTATGTGTTGTACAGTTGGAGAGGAGCAGAAGATGAATTGATTCTCATAAGAGCATTAAGCAAATAATCAACAATTTTTAACAGATATTCTGTGAATGTAAGAGATCAATTATATAATGCGTGAATTATCATGTCCTTTCCAGTAAAAACAAATCTGAACAGAAAACCATGACTTTCAAGATCTATTGGTAAGCAACTCGTCTTCTTCATCCCGGTAAATACTATCTGCCAATTTCCAGATTTGAATAGTATTGTCTTCTGCAACACTTGAGATGACCCATGGCTCATTTTTATTCCAAGAGAAGTCAGATATTTTAGCTTGATGACCCCCATGAGAGAAGATTAGTTCAGAGGGACCATCCGCAGCTTCTCCTTCCAACTGCTCATCTCCTACCCTGAAATCAACCCTCTCAATAATGGTGAGCAAGCCAGAATAATTATTACTTCATCTGTTTGAATTTGAAGGTCTCGTTCACTATTCTAGGATCAACCTAGTTTTCTATTTATCAATAATTTTATGTATCATAATCATATTCAGTAATAGCAGTTCAATAAACCTTTTAGTGTACTTTCTAAACATGTAAACTTAAATTATTAATACAATTCAAACATTATTAGGACTTATAGGAGAACTTAACTTTTGCTTTTGTCAAACTTTGTAATCCAAAATGAGACATTCAAATTGGGACAGAGGTAGTATGATATAGCAAACATCAGGTGAAAATAAAATGGTAATGTACTGTTTATCAAGTTGGCCACAATACCTATTAATATCCCAAACCATTAACCTTCTGTCACCAGCAGAAGATGCCAGCACTGTTTCATGGTTAGGATCCCATTCCACCTGGAACACTTCATCCCTGCCAAAGAGCATCATGTCAGTAAATAAAATTGGGCTTAATCCGAAAATCGCATACTTTTGTCAGAGACTCAGACTATCAGGAGATAATAGATGCACTGATCTTATTAGAGTAATACAAAAGGGCATACGTATGACTGCTTAAGATGTGCAATGGAGCGTTCAACTTTCGCATGTCAAACAGACCAACTGTAGTGTCTGAAGATGACGTTGCAACTACCCACTCATTGTATGGATTGAAGGATAGATAGTTGACCTGAATTAAAGATGAGATGCATTTAACATTAGAGCGCAACAGATCACTTTTGAAGATACCACATGATTAATCATAGAAAAATAACCCAAATTTTGTATTTTAAACTTCTATTGTCAGAAAAATTGGAATTGACACCCCGAGTTTTCACCATATCCGAGTTTCCATTATTTCTTCCTAATTGGACTTTGCACCCCATTTTTGACAGATCTCTTGAATTGTAATGTGCAAATATTAATGATTTGGAAATTGGGGTGTAGACACAAAATTGGATTAAAAATATAGTACAAAGTCAAATTCGCCAAACCTTTACTACCTATGTATATATTGTCAAGGACTAAAGAATATGTAGAGATATCATATTTGTGTCTCATCCTCACATTTGAGTGTCTAGATGTAAGTAAAACATGAAGACTCAGCAAAGCAGCTAGCACTAAACACACACATACATACACACCCAGATATACACATTTATAAAATATATAGGCATTACACCTTATATACATGTAAGCAGATATTAGAAATGAAATCTATGTAATGGAGAAAACAAGTATGAGATTGCCCTTAAATATCCATGACAAACACTAAAAAGACTAAAAAGCACCATGTGAATTTCAAGTTCACCTCCTTTTCGTGAACTAAGACAGACTGTTGGGGCTTATTTGTGCGAGTGTCCCAAATAATTAGCTGGCAATCATCTCCAACAGAACCAAACATGTTTTCATTCTTTAAATGCCATGAGACATCTTCAACCACGCTTTGATGTGCCTAAAATAACATTCATATTTGTATATCAGATATTATAAGTGTTAAGTCTTACAAAATGACTCCATCTTGTGAGCTTGTAATTTAAATCAAGAGTGAGTTAAGACATCAATATCTGATACACAAGAATAAAAATTATACTCCGTAATACATAGTAAATTATACCAGACGCTACCTGATAGATGAAATCTGCTTCAAGCACCTTATCAATAGGTGAGGCTGATATGTTCCATAAGCAAACTTTGGAGTCGTTTGAACCACTCAAAAGATTTCCCTCCTTGAATGGGCTCCATGACAAGCCATACCCTTCTTCATCATGGCCCTTCAATCTCAAGTCAGGGTCACAGGCACCATGTTCATTAGTACTCAGAGAGTCCAGAGACTGCTTGGCAAAGTCGAACAGGTAAACTTCGCTGCAACTAGTTTTAGCTGCAACAATAGATGTGTTTTGCAGCATACACCTTGCTCTGTTCACTTCCCCACCAGTATGTATTTTTCGCACTATCTCTACCTGTAAACAGTATACAAGCTTAGGAAGTGGGATAACCTGGATTCCAGTGAGAGACTAAATAAAACTAACAGATCTATGAGTAAATTGAGAGAACTCAGCTCCTTGAGAAAATGGCGCGCGCACTAAATCTACAAACACCTTGCCCGAATCGTTTTCAATCAAGTTTTCAATCAAGGATCAGAAAATCCAGCGGGAAACATGATTTTAGAACACAATCACACATCCATCATATTCAGTGTAAAAATAGGAGATTTGTAACCTTGGGCGTTTGAGATTTGGTGAGAGTCGGGAGCATTCCAGGCGCAGGGCTCCGAGGAAGGTACGCCCGAGCGAGCATAACGAAGTTAGGGCAATCTACAGCGCTGTGGGTCCCCAGGATAAGGTTATGTATGGAAAAGGGTCCTTCATCAGTTGGAGGAGAAGGAAGCCATTGAACTGTGAGAGAAGACCACTCGAGGGAATGAGAGATGACGAAGTCGTACAGCAGCGGCGTGTTCCCCTTCCACACCGCGAACTCCTCCTGCACATCCTCCTCTCCATCGCCTCCGGCGGCCCCGTCGACGTCTGTCCCTCCCATTTCTCTCAGTCTCCGTCAACTGCTTCACTGGGAAAGGGGCGCGAGCGAAAGAAAACGCAGATGCTGTGTGCGGCTTTGGATTCTCCTGCCTGAATGAAGCGGGAAATGGAGGGAAACTTGCTAGAAATTGTACTGGGCTTAGTTCGATCACTGTCCCCGCGAGTCAGCCCAGCCTGGTAATATTTACTACGTATTTAGTTAGCATATCATTAATCAAGACATTTTGGTTAATCCATAGCAATTTTTGTGGGGATAATTATATATATATTTATAAAATTTTAAGTGTAGTAATAATAGTAATAAGCTAGTAACTTTAATCATAATAACTTATACTTTGTATTCAATTTTTAGACTAAAAAAATCATGGGACTATATTATATTAATTATTAATCATATTTTTGTAAATAAATTTCATTTTGATAATACTTTTGAAATACCTTTTTTGTAATGTCGGTGTGGTGGATCATTTTAATTCAAACAGTTCTACTGAACACAAAAATAATGATCACAACAACTTCTAGTCCATAAGTGGATTGAGTTAGCAATCTCAAGTTTTTTACATTACGGTGATTAGGTTGTATTATCACGTCAAGCACTTTATAGTTCAATGACATCATTGACACTTCTAAGGAAGGGGTTAAACACTTAAACTTACATGTTCAAATATATATCAATCAATGGTTTAGAAATTTAATATTTAATATATACTACAATTGATTAAAAAGTACAATACACAAGGTTGTGACATCAAGTTTAAGAGTTATTCCATAATAAACTAAAAAAGACAGGATATAGTATTGCAAATTTGCAATACATTGTCTTTACTCTTTAAAGAGACATGGAGATAGCCTGCTTAATTTGGAGAGTTTAAAATAACAATGAATCAAGTAAGATAATTCAATATACATTATGTGCTCTACACGTGTGTGGGATACACAAATAGAGATATACGGAGTGTGTAGTGGTACAAAGTTACAAACAGTATTTGTGGCATGTACTAAAGGTCTTACTTAAACCGACACTCGGATAGTTTATAACTAGTCTTTCACCCGTGCGTTGCACGGGATTATGAATTGTGAAATTATTTATAAATCAATTGAGTTTTCCTAGTCAATTAATTAAATTAGAATTTATATTCTTAACTATGTGGAAGTGTACGCAGCATCAACTAATTTGTAGATTATATTTTGATATGTATTAGTATAGTAGTCCTACAAAAAATCAACATGTATAAGAAGTGATAAGTTTACTATTGCAATTCTTGCAACTTATTATCTCGGATATAGGGACTTAATAGACTTATCAATCACAAGTTAATAAAGATGAAAATACTAAAACAATCAAAAGAGATTTTTGTAATATAGCCACAATTTATATCCAACATAAATATATTTCATCAAGGTGAGATTTGTACAACTTAAAATTGATCTCATAACTCCTGAAAAAGTTGACGATTCTAGTGATAATCTCATCCTCTCCCGAAGCTGCAAGAAGTGTACGTGAAAAGAAAAACCGATACATTAGTTGAATGAAGTAATTAAAGAGCTATATCAAATTCATAATGATCTCATAGAACTATAGAAGTAAAACTAAAAGAATACAAAAACAATACTGATAAATGATACAAAGTATGTGAAATGAAATATAAGCGTGCTTCAATAAAGATTGTTGATAATAATTGGAAAAAATGAAATTGTTAATTAATAGTGTTGGGAAATAATATACAAAGCCTTGAAGTACCTATTAATTAATAAACCCTTATTAGATAATTTAATGAAAGAAGAGTTACAATGAAATGAAAAATAATATTACGAATAACATTAGTCAAGAAATTAATTTATAGACTACAGTCAAAGAAACATACCTTATTATGAGAAGCATGATTAATTTAGTCCAAATTTCTAAAAACCTCCTTATAAACAACATTGGTTGTTGAGTTTGTAGAACGGCCATCTTTATCACATATTAGGATCTTCAAACCTTCACGCTTTGTCACTCTAGAGACTCCAACATATAATTGTCCATGTGTAAAAACTGGGTTTTGCAAGAAAATTCCAACTCTAGAAAGCGACTGTCCTTGACTTTTATTAATAGTCATCGCATATGAAACACAAAGTGGGAACTGCCGTCTCTTAAAGTTAAATGGTAGACTCAAATCTGATGGCGTCAATGTCATTCTTGGAATCAAGAATTTTTTCCCTTGATTAAAGCCATTCAAAATTGATGCTTCTATAACATGATCAGCAAGTCTTGTGACCATTAACCTTGTACCATTGCAAAGACCGGATGAGTGATCAATATTTCTCATCAGCATAACAGGAACACCAACCTTTAGCTTCAATTCATGATTGGGAACTTCTGAGCACTTAATTCCATTTAAAAATTCCGGAGTATGTAGCTCACTAAGTAATTGATCATCAGAATCTGACTGACAAATTCCATCAGAACTAAGATAAGTGCGCATGTACTAAAGGTCTTACTTAAACCGACACTCGGATAGTTTATAATATGAAAAATAATTAAAGTTCTAGTCGAAAATAAAAATTGGTACAAAGATGATTGATTCGGTTCTAGTCAAAATCATGCCTTTTGTTTTAAAGGCTTAGTAGTGTTCCAATTTAGAATAGTCGTATTGGAATATGAACTGAATTAGAATTGTCAAAATGTCAAATGCATATGGCCCCAAAATGAACACAGTTTTACCTGGTTTTAAAAAATTAATTTAGAAACTTTAATCAAATAGAATTATTGATAGGTTAGTATTTCAACACACCTTATGTAATGGGGAGTCATTTTTTATGCATGGACAGTCCACCAAGCACCGGGACTTCATCCTGAGTCAAGCTCTTGGCTGGTTAGCACCACGGCTTCATCCTGACTAGCTCTTGGCTAGTCATTTTTTACATGCGTTCTCAAGCACCTCATTCACTACACATAAGTTATCACCAACGACACACGTTGATTTATCATACGTTATAAGGCGTTATTCATAGATTAACTTACATATATATGTATGTGCATTTAATGCACCTAACATTTATTATTATAAATATTCTTTTGGGGCAGATGTAACAGTTTGAAAATCATTAATACTGAATTTCTCTCTCTTTAAGTCTTTATATTTAGCTCAACCTTCTTTCTGCATATAACCTCTAGTTATACTTTCGATGAAAAGAAGAACAATTCTTTTAGTGCCCTCGTCGCTAACTATCAAGAATAAAGATGTTGGGCTGCTGTTTATTTACTTTGTATTGGGCCTTATTATTCGGTCCTACTCATTTTATTTGTATTCAGTATATATCTAATAGGTCTTTACTATTTTTAGAAACTAAGACACTATTCTAAAACTGAATCATTCATACGACCATTACTCTCTGCAATATCAATTCCATCTTCTTCTTCAATTGATCTAAGTTTCTTGAGTTCAATTGTTCACATGGTATCAGATTAGGTTAAGATCTTCTTTGTCTTCTCTGAATTTCCTGTCTTCGATTTCTATAATCGAATTTCTTACTGATATTCATCCAAATCATTCATAAACCCTAATTCCGTTCAAGACGATGAGTCAATTTACTATCTTCCCTCTGAATCCTCTTGAAGATCAATCTTCACCTTACTACTTACATCCAAGTGATCATGCCGGTCTTCGCATCATCTCAGAGACGCTCAATGGTGACAATTTCAACGCCTGGAAGAAGTCTGTCCATATGGCTTTCAGCGTGAAGAACAAAATGGCTTTTCTCGATGGCTCAATCAACCAACCAAGCACGGATGACTCTCATGCCTATTCTGTCTGGTATCGTATTAATGCTTTGCTTCTTTCTTGGTTGATTTACTCCATTGCACCTGAAATCCGTTCAACGTTTCTATATTTCACTTCCGCTAAAGATCTTTGGGATGAAATCCAACTTAGATATGGCAAGAGTGATGGTCCTAGGCTTTTTTATCTTGAAAAAACCCTAGGTAACATTTCTCAGGGTGCTCAGAGTATTACTGCATACTACAATTTTTTCAAAGGTCTCTGGGATGAATACGTTGATTTCAAAACTCTTCCACCTTGTTCTTGTGGTCTTTGTACATGCAAAATTCATGAAAAATACCAACAATTACTCCAGAAAGAGTCTGTTCAAAAATTTTTTGTTGGCCTGAATGAATCTTATTCAAATCTAAGAAGTCAAATTCTTCTTCAAAAACCTTGTCCTGATCTCTCATCAGTTTATTCATTCTTCCTTGAAGAAGAATCTCAGAGAACACTCCAGTACACTGCTAATTCCGTTTCTTTCATTCCTGACTCTTCTAAAAACTTTGATAATTCTCTCAATGATTCCACTGCTTTTCTTGTTAAGAATCAAGCCTATAAGAAAAAATCTTCTGTCACTTGTAACCATTGTGGTTATCAAGGACACTCTGCTGACAAATGCTTCCAAGTAATTGGTTATCCACCTAATTGGAAAGGACCCAAAGGACAGAGGATTGCACCTGGCTTCAAATCTTCTCAGAACTCAAACAAGACTACTCAAGCTCATCTTGCTAATACTTCTGTTGTTTCTCCTTCTAAAGACTTGGACTTCTGTGATCCCTCTCTTTACAATAAGTTTCTGGAATTCATGAAGAGTCAGAATGATAAAGTCTCTGCTCATGTTGCTATGGCTGTTCCTAGCAATGATCCTTCTACTCCTACTGACTTTACTTTCCTAGGTAAACATACTGCTTTTCTTTCTAATATGAAGTCTACTATTTGGATTTTAGATACTGGTGCTTCTGACCATATGATCCATGATTTTTCTCTATACACTTCAGCACCTAAAGAAGTTTCTATTAAAGTTCAACTTCCTACTGGCACTTTCATTACTGCTACTAATATTGGACACGTTAAACTTAATAATGATCTTACTCTTCATAATGTTCTTTATGTTCCTCAATTTAATTTCAATCTTATTTCTATATCTAGTCTTGTATCACATGAAAACATTTCTGTTCATTTCTCTTCTAATCATGCCATTTTGCAGGATCTTCTCACCCACAAAATGATTGGTTGTGCTGATCTTCAAAATGGCCTATATCTCTACAATTCTACTACATCTTCTCTGTTTACTACTAATCTTTGTAGTGCTAATAATGCTCATTGTCACTACTCTGATTCT